GTCGGATAGGTAGTGAACTCAGATTTTTCCGACTATAAGACGATATAGGGCAAAAGTGAGGCAGGACCAACGCGAGGCGTGAAGGGATGTGTAAAAACCTTGTTGAAATCTCTAATGGCCCGCTTCTTTCAGCCTGCATGCTGAGGAGTGTCAGCCTTTGCAAACGCTTGGAAATAAACTTTGCCTTTCCAAATCCAAGAAGAATTATTTCTGCAGCTTTACTTCTCACAGTTAGGGTTGATGACCACAAGTCCCCTCAACCCAACCCCACCTCTGCCATCTCAGCGCCCTCCAAGCCGCGTCTGAAGGTCCCATTAAAGCTCCACAGTGGGGAGATAGTCCTTCCCAGAAAATGGAAGTCCATGAGGCTCCTCCACTGGGAAGGGAGAACTGCTGCACCTCTTCATCCTTCATCACTGTAGGAGGGACCACCACCTGAAGGAAGGAGTGGCCCTAGTTCTTTCATACCTCTGATGCCATCTCCTGAAAGCTGCTCCCGGCCCAGCTGACCAGCTTCCCCAGCGAGAAGATGGGGCAGTAAGGTTGCTCTGCTCCATAGCGACATGTTTTCAGATAGGCATCGTCTTTGGTGTCAAGAACGTTGGTTCTGCGTCAGAGAGGCAGGGAAGTGAGAAGTTCAGAAACCTGGTCATGCAAAAATGCAGTGTCCGAGAGCAACGTAGGCTCCCTCACTGTCGTAACTGACCACAGTATCACATCCCGTTATAACACCTACTCACAGGCACATGAGTCAATTACATCCTGCTGTAAAATCCAAGGGTCTCCTTATACACGGATCAACTTATCCGCCAGTATATCCTGGAAATACGGGTACTTTAAAAAGAGTAATACTGTATAGATTTTTAGAAGCAGACCCTCGAATTTTCAGCCAGATCATGAAAACAAAAGGCGCATTTTATGGTATTTTGGTTACCCTGATTTTGGAACCTGATTTTTGGGGTCCATTTTGGTACCTAAAATGCTTGGCTGAACTGTGAGTCTAGACGGTAAGTGAAAAGGAATTGTGTGCCGATTCTGCAACGGGTTTAGGATACCAGTCACACACGGTACACACAATACATCAAGAAAGGTCAAAGTTGCTAGCTGACACCATGCGGTGGAGATGTCTGCACACCACCGCTGTGCCCCTG